AGCTTCAGAAGGGCAAATGCCTTCCTAACGCCGCTCCGAAGGGGTCATTGAAGGAAAATTGAGCCCGGAGAGCCATTCTGGCGACTTTGCTTCCGAATTGGGGTCATCGGGGGTATTGCCTCCGCTGCACAGCCATGAATTGGACCCCAAATTAGAGAGGAAAAATAGGGATACTGGATGACATCCCGTAGGATCTGCGTGCCCCACGCAGATACGCAAAATGCGGCATTTGCTCATGCCGTGCTTCTGGAAGCCTCACGCAGATGTGCTCAGGGTTCACGCAGATCGGTTTTCTGCGTGAGGGGGTCGACCCCCTCACGCAGAAATTTTCGTGCACGTAGACCTTCACGGAGGCACTTCTGTTTCTTCCCTCATTCATTCTGTCAGGCGACTGAACCCTGTGGCTGAGCAAAAACGGGGCTGTGCAAATCACCTGATCACGGTGCACATGCCCTGTGATCCAGATACATCACGTGCTGTCTCGGCATATCACGTGCAGTCCGGCATATCACGTTTTTCTATGCCTATCACATGCACCCTCTGCACAGAATCTACGTATCTGCGTGCTGGTTTTTGGTCCTACGGGAATGGGGTGTCGACACAGATCTGATTCCGGCTCCTCGGATTTGCTTCCATTCTATGTATCTGCGTATCTGCGTCCTACAGGATGTCATCCACTGTATGATTACAAGAAGGCAACTGAAGATTTCTCCCTCTGTCGTGCAGATTCGCAATCTGAAAAGTGGAGAGCGGAGCGATCGACTCTCTCATTAGAACACGCATCTCCTTCGCACGTCTCTCAGAGCCTCTGATGTGGCAAGGGAGTTACGAGAGTGAGGGGAATGGAGATTCTAATGGATAGCCGTAATTCTAACCCCCAGAAAAGGTTAACAACTGAGTACTACAAGTCGGTTGGAAGTGGAATGTTGGCAGCTACTTGGTGATGTATCTCCCCCGTATCTCGGACTTTTCCTTGCCAAATATCCAGTGTGAGGATGCTTAGTGGTAAGTCTGATGTGTCCAGTGGAAATGTACCCGCCTCATACAGTCGGAGGAAAGTCGGCAGGTGTCTCATACTCTTCGATGCCTTCAAATGGAGAGTGTCCTGTCAGGATCCAATACAGAAGACTACCAAGACAATTAGATGTCCACCTGCATGAACTCGTTTCGATCCAACACCGGGTCGCGAAAGTCCTTGATGGACAATTGACGACTGACAGAGGCTATTCCGGGTAGTTGCCAGGAAAGGATGCATATTCGAAGTCTCAAAGCTTGATTCTCAAATCGCAATCGACGAGTATATTGCCGAGGTGGAGATCTGCGTGGATGACGTCCCAGGCGTGCATCGAGCGCATGGCCCACGCCGCCTGTGCACACCATGAGATCCGCTGAGCAGTCGTAATCGCCTGCCTCTTCACCGCTGT